GCTGTCTGGGCTCCGGTGCGGGAGGGGTGCCCGTTCCGCTACCTGAGGCACTTCCGGCTCCTACTAGATGTGTGCAGCCTGCTCTTGGATAAGCCAAGTGCTTTTAGAATACCCGAAACCTCTATGAGAAAATTTCTAACGTGCTTCGTTAGTAATCTACCCGTTAGCAGCTCCAAACACCAGCAGTGCAATACTGCGGGGTCCCGAGCAGGGAGCAGCCCGCAGCTCGCTGGGTCTCGGGCTGTGGCAGGTTCCCGGCTTCCCCCAAGGGAGGCCTCAGGCAGAAAGCCTGCGAGCCAGAGAGGGAGCCTAGTCTCAAGAGGCATGGCTTCTTCCTGCTGCGCTGGCCGCTTGCCCCGTACAGAAGTAGGATGGCGTTAAAAACCCAGTGGGAGCCGGGCATGGTGGTGCACACCTGTACTGGGAAGCTGGAAGGAGGCAGGAGGAGGAACCGAAGCTGGAATCCAGCCCGTGCAAATTCCCCCCCCCATAGGGTCTCCCTCTGTAGTCCAGGCTGGCTGGGAACTGTGTGGCCCAAGCTGGTCTTGATCTCCTGGCGATCCTGCCTCTGCCTCCTCAGTGCTGGGATAACAGGTGCGCACCACCCTGCCTGGGTCGGCGTGTATTTTTATTGCTAAGGAAAAAGAGCACCTGCAACACCACCACCCGCTTCAAGTATCTGCATTTCTGTGAAAAAGGATTCTGAATCACAGCAGCTCCTCCCTGTCCTGTTCTGTGGGTGGGAACCTACCAAACCTGGTGGAGCCCTTCAGGAGGCTCAGGGCCCTCCCCACACAGGCCCAGAGCAGAGCACAAAACCACCCAGCTTCCAATGACCCGATTCTGGAGGTCCCAGACCAGTCACCACAGCTCGGCCTGAGCCAGCGGGTACTCAAGGTGAGGCCCGGCCTAGAAATGGACGGTCAGCAAGATGTCTGCCATGCTCACCAAGACCCTCCCCTCTCTCCGCATTAGGGCTGTTCCCAAGTCTGAGGCTGCAGATAAAGATGCTCCGCCTTAGACACAGCCAACGCACACAGGTGCCAAACAATCCGTCTCATTTCCTGACCAACAGCATGTGCCTGCAAAATAATGTGGAAGCCAGCATGCTGTTTACAGAACTTCGAGCTCTTAACACTCTAACAGGTACCTGGTGGAGTGACTTACGTGGTTCCTATTTGGATACTGGCTTCCAAGAGCGAAGCAGCTCCCCGCTCCCATCTTGTTTCTGCCTTGGAGCCAGCTAACCATGGATTGAATCCACTTAAAATGAGCCAGCAGGGCCAGTAATCCTAGCACTCAGGCTGAGGCAGGAGAATGGCAAGTTTGAAACTATCCTGGATTGTATAGGAAGACCCTGTCTCAAGGAAAAAAAAAAAAAAAAAAAGTGTTTTTTTTTTGTTTGTTTGGTGCCGCGATCGAACTCGGGTCCTTAAGCTTGCAAGGTAGGCAGCGGAAGCACTGAGCTAAATCCTGCCCCCTCCCCTATTTAAAAATTTTAAACAGGGTCTTGCCATGTAGCCCAGGCTGTCCTGGAACTCATGGCAATCCTGCTGCCTCAGCCTTCCGGGGCTGGGCTTACAGGTGTGTCACCATGCCTGGTTTAGGGTGGTACTTTTTTATTTTTTGGTACCAGGGATTGAATTCAGGACCTTGTGAGGCAGGTGTGGAACCACTTAACTAATACCCAGCCCAGGATGGTAATCTTTCTCAATGTAATGTCCTAAGAGGATCTTTTAAACTTACCTTTCCCTCATTTTAAAAGGGTTATTAGAAGGCTGGGGAGTTAGGTCAGTGGTGAATCTTGGCTGTCTTGCAAGCACAAGGTCCCCTGGGAGTTCAATCCCCAATACCCCCCCACACAAAAAAAAGAAAGAAAAGGGTGTATTGGAAATGCTTTGCACTGGGCATGCTGATAAACCCTTGTAATGCCAGCATCCAAGAGGCTGAGGCAAGAGGATCGCCATGAGTTTCCAGGGCAGTCTGGGCTTAATGAGTTCAAGGCAAGTCTGAACCCTGTCTCAAAAAAAGAAAAACAAAATTGTTTCTTCTGTTTGTTTTTTTTTTTTGAGATAGTCTCACTATGTAGTTGAGACTGACCTGGAACTCATTATGTAGCCCAGGCTGGTCTTGAACTCAGTGATCCTCCTGCCTCAGCCTCTCAAGTGCTGGGATTACAGGCGTGTGCCACCACACCCATCAATTCTTCTGTTTTTCAATGTTCAATCAGTTGTGATTTTTTGGTACTGACTTGCAGTTTGTTTCAAAGTCCCCCCACCCTGTAAAGAGAGAAACCCTGTTTCATGGTACTGGGGACTGAAACCAGGGGTGCTCTGCCATTGAACTATACTCCCAGCATTCTGTTTGATAGGTTTTGCTGAGTTGTCCAGAGGCCTTGACCTTCCAAGTCACTGAGGCTAAAGATGCACACCATTACATCTGGCTAGCAACTTTTTTTGGTGCTGAGGAATGAACCAGGGCTTTCAGCACTGAACTATATTCCAACTACCTTCCTGCCCTTTTTAAAAAATCTGAGATGGGAAGCCAGGCATGGTGGTGCACTCCTGCAATCCCAGTACTCGGGAGGCTGAGGCAGGAGGATCGCTGAGTTTGAGACCAGCCTGGGATACATAGTTCCAGATCAGTCTCAACTACATAGTGAGACCCTGTCTCAAAAAACAACAAAAAATCTAAGATAGGGGCCAGGGTTAGCTCAGTGGTTCTGGCGCCTGTCTCACAAGCACAAAGACCCACATTCAATCCCTGGAACCAAAAAATCTGACAGGGTCTTGTGGTCTAAGTTGCTCAGGCTGAGCTGGAACATGCAATCCTGCCTCAGCCTCCCATGCCTGGGCTCCAGCTAGACTATTTTTTCCCCTCCAGTACTTCCCCTCCAGTACTGGGGATTGAACTCAGGACCTTGCACTTGTGAGGAAGGCAGGACACAACTGAGCTAAATCCCTGGCCCTAGGAACTCATTTTTTAGCCCAAGAATGCCATCTGTCAATACTGAGTGCTTCCTGAAAAATACCTAACAGGCTGAGCTTTCTAGGTCTCAGAGCTGCTCCTTACACTGTCAGCCCCAGGGTGGGAAGAGTCCACACTGCACCCTTGGGCGATCCATGCTTTGGCCTGTGCCACTAGCTGAGGAAGCCTCTGGATCTGGGGACTGAGTCCCTAGGTCCTTTACACCCACTCCCACCTGCATGGGGTGGGGCAGGCCCCAGCTGGAGCTCTGACATGGTGCTGGCTGCCCCCTTCCACTCATAGGGGGTCTTATCCCACCATGCAGTGGGCTCTGGAAGCCAGCCCATCTAACTTGGATCAGTCCGTCCTCCACTGAGCTCGGGCTCCTAGGGATTGCAAAACGCTGGTCTCTAATTAGCTCTGCATTGCCCAGCAGGAACATGCGTCTGCATGCGGTGCTGGGGTGGACCCTGGGCCTGTGTGTGCTGTGCACCTGTTGTCCTCTAGCTGTGATTCTTAACAGAAGAACCCTGCCATCAAGGGTTTACTTCTTTCCTCAGTGTTTTCACTTTATGCTTAAGACAGATGTCTGGCTCTTTTTTTGGGGGGGAGGTTGAGACAGGGTCTCACTATGTAGTTGAGGCTGACCTGGAACTATGTAGCCCAGGCTGGTCTCGAACTCACAGCGATCCTCCTGCCTCAGCCTCCCAAGTACTGGGATTACAGGTGTGCGCCACCACGCCCGGCTATGTCTGGTTCTTTTTATTTGCCAGTTTTTGAACTAAGTGCCAAAGGCAAACATTAGGTATTTTTTTCTTTTGTTACCGGGGATCAAACTTGGGTCTTTGTGCTTGCCAGGCAGGTGGCAGAACCACTGAGCTAAATCCCTGGCCTAGGAATTGTTTCTTAAGCAGCAGTAAGAACTTTGGTGCTATACATTTGCCAAGGA